TTCATGATCTGACAGTTGATTTTTATCAGAAATAATACGTTTAGCTTGTTGAATTATATCAGGATCCATTTCCATAATAGGCCAATGCTCATCACGATTTATCGAATTGTTATGAACGTAATATCTGTCGTCGTGAATGTCCATATCGTCACACACGACGGTAATCTTACCGTTTTTTAAATAATATGGAAATAAAAGAATTCTGTTGATGAAGAAGCTGAAAGGATTCCATCGTAAAAAACGCGTTTTTCTGTGGCTGAACCAATTTAACGGTTCGCCGAATGCTATGTCTTCAAGATAGATGATTAGGCGTACTCGGGAGATGAGTCCGATCAGTTCAGCTCTAGACAAGATTTCATTGATATCACTGACTGCTAGACCGTTAAGCAGATTAAGCAATACAATGGCGATGAGGAAGACAAACAGCACGAACACAATGTGACTGCAGATGGGATATGAGACAAACGAAATATCGTTAGAATTGAATTCGCCGGTGATCATGATGATAGTTTTGAAGAACGATTGTCCGGGATCGGAAAAATTTATGCTGCTCTTGAAAAGTATATGGAAAGCCAGAGCAAACGCGGCAATGAGGAACATATATGGAAACAGCAAACACACGTAATCGAGAGAAACTGTCCAAAACATTTCAAAGTTGGCGGACATTTTCGGATGTTGGGTGATCAGAGTTATCATCTGCACGGCGGACAATATGATTACAACGACGCCACTCCATAATCCTGCACCACACAACAAAATGAAGATGGATATAATTAGCACGACCTGTAGCCAGTTCTCCCAATCCATCACGTAACGGTAACGACAGCAGGCGCATTGGAAGATCTCCAGAATGGTTAAAAATAACCAATATACAATAACACAGGTCCGCAGAATACTCTCCGGATAGCAGCGAATTAGGAGAGTATTTCCCAAAGCTATGTCGAAACTATTACTGGCTATTGGCGTTCCACTATCGTTCGGAGAATTTTCATAAGTCATGCTCAAGATAATATAGGCATTCAGCAGAATGTGGAAAATCCCACAAAAGACGAGATTGGCGTACAAGATGTGCCGTATCTTGAGCCACTTGAGATAGAGAAAGGACGAAAGCAACGGATGTTTCAGCAGATGCTTGAGATTTTTGTGACGTGCGATGTACAGGAACACTTCCATCTCGCGAGTCGGCCGGTGAGTTGTGTCCTGTTGCGCGAAAACGTTCTGTGGCATCAAGCAACGATAGTCGAACTCGATTACGTCCTCGTTCGTTTGATCGCTTATCTCCTTCAAGCAGTCGTCGAAGTAGTCCGACAACGTGCACACCGGGATGTCTATAAGGGGCGGTATGTTGAACTTGTTCATGTGTCCAATGTAACTTCCTCGTTTGAGCAGCAGACTCATTGCTGTGCGATTATCTGCTCTGGCCGCGTAATGCAGCGGCGTGTTACCTTTTTCTTCAAAATTATAAATTATAGAATACAATCAGAACGAATCTGTAGAGATTTTAGAAATAGTCTCGAAAATTGAGAAATAATCTGTTTATGTTGAAAAGACTGTTGTTTCTCCGTTATTTATGACATTTCATACTCACTGTCAGTGCAACGGACATCCACGTTATTCTGTTCCAGAATTAA